TGTCCCAAAAAAAAAAAAAAAAGACATCAGTTGTGCTCTCTCTCATCTAGATAATGAATGTCACCTGGTGTGTCAATAAAAGTTCCAAACATTTTTATAACAGGAACCCAACATTGATTTTTCATTTGTTTATTTCTTGTATTTTTCACAAACATAAGAAATTTATACTGAAAGTGTGTCTTGATTATACTCAAAAAGTGTAATAAAACACATCTGGGGAGACGTCATGTGGTGAGAAATCCCTCACTCGGATTTGTCAGAACATTCTCTACAATTAAATCCACGCTTTCCTCTCTCTCTTCTTCTCATTTTCTGTAAAGGTAAGAACTCCTCCCATAGCCATTTGCTTAAAATGTGTTTTCATTTCAGGGTCTATTGACATTCAGGGACGTGGCCATAGAATTCTCTCAGGAGGAGTGGAAATGCCTGGACCCTGCTCAGAGGACTCTATACAGAGACGTGATGCTGGAGAATTATAGGAACCTGGTCTCCCTGGGTGAGGATAACTTCCCTGCTGGGGATGTGCCCTTGTGTGTCTTTGCATTTTCTCTTGTTGCCTCTTGGGAGCCCCATCGTTCCTTGACTAAAATGGAAGCTGTATTGATTTTGAAATGAAAAGCTTCATGATGTAGCATCTGGACTTTCACTGTCCCCTTTGTTTAGATGTTCTACATTCTTCATGATAGCTCAGTGGGGCTTCCAGAAGTAAAGTAGGCATAAAACCTTATCACAGCCTGGTCGTGGTGGCTCACACCTGTCATCCCAGCACCTTGGGAGGCCAAGGCATGTGGATCACTAAGGGTGAGGAGTTTGAGACCAGCCTGACCAACTTGGAGAAACCCAATCTCTACTAAAAATACAAAAATTAGCCAGACGTTGTGGTGCACACCTGTAATCCCAGCTCCTGGAAAGGCTGAGGAAAGAGAATCACCTGAACCCAGGAGGCCAAGGTTGCAGTGAGTCGAGAACACACCACTGCACTCCAGCCTGGATGACAGAGCACGACTGTGTTTCAAAAGACAAAAACAAAATCTTATGGCCAGCATTAAAGATATCCAGTTCCCTGTTTTGCTTCTCCTGTGCTTTCAATTCGGTAGTTCTTGGAAGAGAGCTCGATGTCCACATATTACATATTACAACGTTCCCCAAGCATTCAGAAGGAGGCAGTCAGTGGAGGAATTTGTGAAATATTTTCTTAGATCCATCTGCAATGTCTTATTTCCTATTGAAACATATGGCTGGGACTCTAGAAAAGCTCCAGCACGTCGTGGTCCTTTCTTTTTATAAGCAGGAATCTCTTTCTGACCTGCTGTCTCCATGTTGGAGCAAGGGAAAGAGCCCTGGACCGTGGAGACTGAAGTGAAAATAGCAAAAATATCCAGCTGGGAGGGAATGTGTTACAGGTGTAAAGGCAGTTAAGAGCTCAGATGGGCAGAGTGGAAGCTCCACCTTCCAATAGTGTGTGGGGAAACTCTGCAAGTGGGAGAATTCTGTGGGAAAAGGAAAGTTTAAGTCCTGACATCCCTGAATGGACATCTTTCTGAAGGGGGCCTGCCCCTTCACACCTGTGGGTATTTCTCGTCAGGTGGGACAAGAGATTGAGTAAAGAAATAAAGAAATAAGACACAGAAACAAAGTATAGAGAAAGAACAGTGGGCCCAGGGGACCGGCACACTCAGCATGTGAGGACCTGCCCTGGCACCGGTCTCTGAGTTCCCTCAGTATTTATTGACCATTATTTTTACTATCTTAGTGAGGGGAGTGTAGCAGGGCAACATTTAGGGAGAAGGTCATCAGGGAAATATGTGAGCAAAGGAATCTGTATCATGAATAAGTTCAAGGAAAGGTAGTTTGCCTGAATGTGCACGTATGCTAGGTTTATGTTTCACTTTACACAAACATCTCAAGGTAGCAAAGAGTAACAGAGCAGTATTTCTGCCAGCATATCTTGCCTCCAGCCATGCTTTTCTCCTTTCTCAGAATAGAATGAAGGGGAATGGTCTGCTTTACACTGAGACATTCCATTCCCAGGGACAGAAGCCTTCTTATCTCAACTGCAAAGAGGCCTCCCTCTTTCACTCCTCCTCAGCACAGACCCTTTACAGGTGTCGGGCTGGGGGATGTACGGTCTTTCCATTCCCATGAGGCCATGTCTCAGGCTGTCTCAGCGGGGGGAAACTTTGGACAATACCCAGGCTTTTTTGGGCAGAGGTCTCTTGGGCTTTCCGCAGTACATTGTGTCCCTGGTTAATCGAGACTGGAGAATGGCGGTGACTTTTACCAACCATACTGCCTGCAAACATATTGTTAACAAGGCACATCCTGCACAGCCCTAAATCCCTTAAACCTGGATTCAATACAGCACATGTTTCTGTGAGCACAGGGTTGGGGCTAAAGTTACAGGTTAACAGCATCTCAAAGCAAAATTAAGAAAAAACAGTTTTTCTTAATATAGATTAAAATGGAGTTTCTTATGTCTTCCTTTTCTACATAGACACAGTAACAAG